TTTGTTTTTGTGACTGCGAAAGCTGGATCACTGGAAAATTCTCGAGGGAGATAAGCTGGCTCCCAAGTTGCTGACAGCTTTCCCAAGACTGAAACACAGAATTTGAAACGGTGTTCGATATGACACACTAGGCCTTTGATATCAGAATACTGAAGTAGAGTTGCTAGCTCCATGAATAAACCTCCAAGATGACACACACAGCATAAAAAAACGGTGGAACTTTAAATTCCTTCACTGACTGGGGCAGACTTCATGCAACGGACTTTAAATGTTTGCAGAACTGTGCAAGCAAGAGACTATTACACTGTAGCAGGAGTATCTGTCCCTTAGCACCCTGCCTGAGAAAGGGTGAAGTCCAAGAATCCACCTACTGTATTTCCTCCTGCTAATAAATATTGTGTTGCCAGGCTGGGCGCGGTGGCTCACGCCTGTAATCCCAGCACTTTGGGAGGTGGAGGAAGGCAGATCACCTGAGGTCAGGAGTTTGAGACCAGCCTGGCCAACACGGTGAAACCCCGTCTCTACTAAAAATACAAACATTAGCCGGATGTGGTGGCGGGCGCCTGTAATCCCAGCTACTCGGGAGGCTGAGGCAGGAGAATTGCTTGAACCTGGGCTCGGGGGGTTGCAGTGAGCCGAGATTGCGCAACTGCACCCTAGCCTGAGTGACAGAATGAGACCCTCTCTCTTAAAAAAACAAAAACAAAAACAAAAAACAAAAAACAAAAGATTGTGCTGCCACTCTAGAAGTTTTTAGCCAACTACTTGGAATTTGCTTGCACTGGGCAAGGTCTCGTGCTCCTGTGAAAACGACATTAGCATTGAGTTAGGCATAAATCAGGCTGAACCTTGAACCTTTCATCATCTCCAGCCATGGTTCCTTTTTTTTTTTTTTTTAAACTGGAGAAAGGTTAGGAAAGGGATTTCCAGTGAGTATGAAAAGAAGGGACTCTTGAGTATGTCACGATTACTTTGGTTAAGCTCAAAGCACTGATTTACCGACGCAAGGCAGACAGACACGCTGGCCCTGGGCCTAAATAATATAACAGCTAAATATTTCAATCCAGCATTTAGGGCTTTGACCCTAGTGTTGTGCAACATCCAGATCACTGGTTGGATTTCTAGTCTTTGTCTGCGTGTGTGGGGCTAAAGGTCCAGTCATGAGTTGGGCATCACAAAGATCGATGAGATCATATGCTGATTTTCCCCTCTACTGGTACAGACACTAAGGTTTCTCCTACAAGTAAATAATTATGTTGATGCAGCCACCTAAGCCCCTAGAGAAAAAAAATATCACCCATTTTCTCAAGAGAGGTTTCCTCTTTCTTTCCCGAAGCTCATGCGTGCCATACCTAAGTCCCTTATGACAGATCTCCTTTCTCAGAGATGAACCTCCCTGAGCAGGTGTCCGCTACCTCCTACCTCCACCCCCAAACAAAAATTACCATCAGAGGCACAAGATCCACATGAAGAGAATTCACCCTGGGGACACAGCAAGCCCGACTGTGCCACAGGCCTCTGGTGACACTTGTACTGTGGTGTGCAGTACGCATGCTATTTTCTCATGGAAGACGGCAGCCATTGGAAGCTTAGACCCCATGGTGCTTCTTCCCCTTCCCATCTGGATAGCCCCTGCTTTTTTTTGGAGGGGTGGGGGGGGGACGGAGTTTTGCTCTTGTTGCCCAGGTTGGAGTGCAGTGGCACAATTTCAGCTCACTGCAACCTCTGCCTTCCGGGTTCAAGCAATTGTTCCTCCTCAGTCTCCCAAGTAGCTGGGATTACAGGCGCCCACCACTACACTCAGCTGATTTTTTTGTATTTTTAGTAGGTTTCATCATGTTAGTCAGGCTGGTCTCAAACTCCTGACCTCAGGTGATCCGCCCGCCTTGGCATCTCAAAGTGTAGGGATTACAGGCATGAGCCATCGTGCCTGGTCCCTCTGATTTCTTGAAACTAGGGTGTGATGAGAAAGAGGAGGATGGGGTGTACCACCCACAGTGGGGTACTAGGTAGCCCTGCTGCCCTGCCCACTTCGGTCTGTTAGAACTCTGCCTGCAGCCAGGAAGGCCTCAAAGTGGTAGCCACACAGGTGAAGGAGCTCCCTCTTTGGTGTCTTCCCTGGCTGTTCCTGTCCCCTCCCATCTCATGGGGGTGGGTGTAGCTACCCTGCTCTCACCCTCTTGGTCTGCTAGATCCTAGTCCAGATCTAGACCCTAGGAGAAAGTTCCATCTCCCACATTGTACACGTGTGCACCTTGGTGCCTGCAGACACGATGCATTTCCTTTGCCTCTGTTCCTACAGTAATGTTTAAAACCCTGTCAAGTGTGACACTTAGGTATTCCAAAAAGCTTGCCCAGATCTGTCGATCCTCACAGTCGCTCAGTAAGGTGATTGACATGTTGAGTTACACTTCACATAGAGACAACTGAGGCATGGAGAGGAGCTTTATTCAAAGACCAGGTGCAGCAGGGGAAAGGAAGAGGGTGCTTGGGCACTCCAGCTACTGTTCCAGCTGCGTGGCCTGAACATGAGCACATTATTGTACTGCAGCTCTATTTCCTTAAAGCCTCCACTGTTGCTAACAACTGTTCTATTAATAGTAAGGAGTTAATAAATGAAATCCGACTTACAGAACTTACAAGGAAAAAACTCCAAAGGAATAAAAAATCAACCCAGTCCAGAGGAGGACGTGTGTGTGTGTGTGTGTGTGTGTGTGCGCATGTGTGTGTGAAGCCCTGGAACTTCAGGGAATTCATAATCAGTCTGCAAATTACTCAAAAGAAAGTGTCAGTGCTGCTATGTCACCACTTAAACAGGCCTCAGAGATGGCTGGTGATGCTATGGAAGTGTCTATCAGTAAAGATCCGTGTGACGCATGCTTAGAATTACGGACATCTCAGCTACATGGCCATCCTTTGGGCTTTGTAATCACTCACGCTACAGATGAAGGTAAGATGGGAGACTCCAAGAATGCTCTTCGAAAAGTCAGATACCCTTGGCTCTTGTGGACGGAACGCTGCTTAGTGAAGTAACGCACATTCCTCGCTGCTGAGTATGTTCTTTTTGCTCCTGTGGGCATCTAGAAATGAAGGGATCCTGAATACTGGGAAAAATTCAGTTTTGTTTTATGGAAAATTGGAAAAGCAGCGATAAGGAAACTAGAACATCGATATTATTTTAATAACCCAACAGCACTCTGAAAATCCTAAACATGGGTGCTATGTTATATCATGTCTAGATCCAAGTATTTCTGGATGAGCCTTCCTATTTTAAAAATGGGTAAAAACAAAAAACCAAAACAAAACCAAACCCAAGTCCTTGATTCAGCTTTTCAGGCTACATCAATACCCCCGGGGCTTCAACAGAAATGCTGACCCTTGTGTTGACTTGCAATTAGTGCCCTGAATTCAACCCTCAGATCAATGTCTATAAAATTGGCTGTAAGAGGTGGATTTTCAAAGTAACACACAGAGATTTAATCCCTTGATTCCCATTACTGTAAGTAAGAGCTGTGAACCTAAATCCCCTTGCAACCGACCCAAAATTTACCCCTTGCTGCCTCGGAGTGCCAATTAAAATAATACAAACCAAAACCGTGGTCAGATGTAATTAGTTTGAGAACCGAGTTTATAATTTTCCTCATGCCAGGCAAACAAGTTAACCCCTTTGGTGACAGATACAGAATCATCTGGACAAAAGGAACACAAATCTCAAGTCTGAACACTTCTTGTGCTATTTGCTGGAAGTTGTGACATTGAAAAACTGTGCTCTTCTGCGAACGGGAAAACGAGGACATAAACTCCGGTTCCAAATGGTTGGAAGTGCAGTTTATGTGGTAAGGTAGTTTTTCCCCTTTCATTAAAAAAATTTCAAGATGCCACTTGATCCGGGTTTCTCCGAAAACGTATTACTTCTTAAAAATAGAATTCTTATAGGGACAGACTTCAGCTGTGTAGCAGGCAAAGCTGCAGAACAGAACACTCTTGAAAGACGGCTGGGTGTTTCTTAGCACAAACCACCTCTGAAAGAGTATCAAGCTCAGCGGTTGGTGAAGCAAAGTCAAGTCCCTGTCCCACCCATCTTTGGGATGAGGAGTTCCCCATGGTGACCCTGAGTCAGGCTTCCTCTGCACCCCTCTGCTTGGTTAACGAGGACTCAACTGAACTGCCCATCTGCAAACAAACCCCTTCTGCATTTTTCTCTCTAGACACGAGTGAATTGTGTCAGATGGTATAGTGGGAAAAAGACAAAGGATATTTGAATCTCAGGATATGGGCTGGATGGGGTGAAGGGATGGTTTTGTTTTTGTTGCTGTTTCTGCTTCTTTAGTTTGGGGAGGAGGATACGGAAAAGGGAGGGAGATAAGGCTAAAAATGAGGTTAACAAACATACCCTCCCACATAGGGGATACTTCATGTCAAGCCACTGGTCTAACACCTCCGTCTTCTTTAGTCCAAAATCCTCTTATGTTACTCAACCAAAAATTGCAAACATGATTCCACCATGTTCGTTTCAGTTGTGCGCAGTTCCCTGACTGCACACAAGTCATGGAAGTAACTTGTGACTCTAAAGAATGACAAGCAAAGAGGCATCCCAGGGCTACTGGTTGAAGAGGAACCCTGTGGCCATTGAGATGACCTTCTCAAGCTTCCTGTTGAGCCTTCACTGGGACACTGGAGAGTGTGCATGTGCATATGTGCATGTATGTGCGTGCATGTGTGTGTATGTGTATGTATCAGGAAATAGCAAAGACAAATAGTAAACTATAGTTATAATGAAGAAAAACATACTTTTTTTCCATGAAAAATGTCAGACTTCATACTGATAATCTGTGGGAGCTACATTTAAGCCATTTATGAAACAAAAAGATTGCTTTTAAAGAGATTATAAACTGGGAGCCAGAACAACTGACTTGAACGTATTTTGATTCTCAAGTTTCCTTGTAAAAATATTCATAGAAATTGGTGGACGTCTTTTACGTACAACTCAACTTCTCTCATTTACAACATAAATCATTTAATGTAACATTTGCAACCTTAGAAAGGCAGACATATTTAATCCAAGTCCGTTTATAAATTCCAATTTCACATGGATTAAAAACTGCAGATAAATTAAGTCACAATAATATCCTGTACATGCATTAAGGCTGGTGACTGCTAAAGTCTCTTGGGAATCTACAAATAAGAAATCACACGCAGATTACTGGGTCTGAAGAGTGTCTACATTATTAAAAAAATCTTGCTTTTTTTTTTGGTGATGCAGATTTCAACAGTAACTCTGGAAAACTGTGAAAAATGTTATTTAAAAATATATATGTATATGCTACTGCACAGTTTCAAAGATGTGATTCATAAATAATGTTGGCTGCACTGATTAATTTTATAACAATTACTGCACTTCCAAGTTGATGCGAACACGCAGTGACTTTGACTCAATATTAGGCACTAGTAATATCCTTCAGGCGTACTACAGTTTTCTGTTAGCTGTATTGTACATATATATTTTTAAATGTATGCATTTATACAAACTGTGTCTATTATGTATGGGTGTCAGAAATGTACACATCACTGTTATATAATACACATATCATTGTTGTACATATTAGGAGAAGTTTTAGTGCAGAACGTCTCATTGCATTGCATTCCATGTGTTCAATCTAGTACACAAATTTGTCAACTCTTCAGAGTATTTTTCCAGTACATTCCTCATTAGATCGTGGGTTTCAAGTTTCCATTTGCAATTTGAATGTCGCCAGAAATCTCTGTCTTAACCAAACCTCTCTCTCCAGGCACGATTCTGCACGTGAGTCTGATCTGTGCAGAGCAGTATCATCAAAAATGCCAAATTTTGATCAGGAATATACCTGGGCTACTCTCTTTCAAAGGCAATTGAACATTGTGATAAAGGATAGCATCCATTCAGGTCATGGAAGCATATGGTCAGTTGAACTTGGGTTGAACTTCGGAGGCAAATGTACGTCTTCAAAGAAAAAGATGTGGTAATAAAAATTATTTGCTTAAATGTGAGAGTCTATGGAAGGATATACATCAAACTGCGAGCAGTGGTTGTCTCAGGCAGAAGGGACAACCGGGGACTTATACTTTCTACTTTCTACGTTTCTGCACTGTTGGAATTCTTACAATGAGTAGGTATTACTTTTCTAATCAGAAAACACAAGAAAGATATTTCAACTTGAAACAAAACGAAACAGGCCAGGCATGGTGGCTCATGCCTGTAATCCCAGCACTTTGGGAGGCCGAGGCCAGAGGATCGCTTGAGCCCAGGAGTTTGAGACCAGCCTGGGCAACATAGTGAGACCCCATCTCTACAAAAAAATAAAGAAAAAATTAGCTGGGTGTGGTGGCATGTGCCTATCTTCCCAGCTGCTTGGGAGGCTGAGGCAGGAGGATCGCTTGAGCCCAGGAGTTTGAGGCTGCGGGGAGCCACGATCGCGCCACCGCACTCCAGCTTGGGCCACAGAACCAGACCCGGTCTCAAAACCAAACCAAACCAATAACAACAGCAGCAACAACAAAACTAAGTAAAAGGAACAAGTTATGAATGACTTTCACAAGCAACAATAGGAGGATGGTTTCTAACCAAAATCACCTATGCCAAACGCCACAGAAACTGCTGTGCTCCACAGACGAAATGAGAGACGGTCATAGGAACTGCATGCTCTGACCACTGCCCACAAGGGCAAGTTTCAAAAGTTTGCCTGGGAAACGTGGGCCATCAGAGTGCTGATAAAACACTGCTGGCTCACCTGTCAAACGGGGCTTCACAGGGAAGCTCATCACACAGATGCCACAACAAAGCCAGCAACTTTCCAGGTAGGTAAGATCAGAGAAGCTCTCCAGGGATGCAGGACAGACCTCCAGGGCCATCCCTTTATGTGTTTGAATATTTCATCAGGATTCTTCAAGAGTAAGTAGGACAAAGTCTCAGTCCTCCAAAAAAATGACTCAAAATTTCTTAAGTTAGGTTCAAGCTTCCGACATAGGATGAGATTGTGAACTCTGACAAAAATTAGTTGAAAGGGCTGGGTGTGGTGGCTCACGCCTGTAATCACAGCACTTTGGGAGGTGGAGGCGGGTGGATCACCTGAGGTCAGGAGTTTGAGACCAGCATGGCCAACACTGCGAAACCCAGTCTCTACTAAAAATACAAAAATTAGCTGGGCATGGTGGTGCATGCCTGTAATCCCAGCTACTCGGGAGGCTGAGGCAGGAGAATCATTGAACCCAGGAGGCAGAGGTTGCAGTGAGCCAAGATCGTGCCACTGTACTCCAGCCTGGGCGACAGAGCGAAACTCGTCTCAAAAAAAAGTGAAAGGATTGTAAGAAGCACCGCAGTTGGAGACATGTAAAATGGAAATTATCTTAATATTTCCAAATGCTTGAAGGCCAAAGCCAAATGCAAATCCCACAAGCCCTCTACTTGCTGTTTTCAATTTATTTCAAATCATCTAAGTTGTTCAATCATTTATACAATTTTGAATCAGTGCTCAGAGCTAGGGAATCACAATGATCTTATTTCCCACCTACAGATCAGGCCGACAAAAATGTTAACAGTACAACCCAACCTGAAAGAATATCAGTGAATGTATAGAGACCAGCATCTAGTCTAAGTATTTTGTGCCGTCATCACCTTGAAAAAATGGATTGCTCCATATGCTGCACCGCCTGCCTCTCTCAGACCGTCCTGGTGCAACTTTATCAAGCAAGAGACCTCGAGCACATTATTTTTGTATTTAAAGTGTGGCAAGATAGACCCTCTTTTTCAGGAGTTACTTTCTCTTCGCCAAGATTTCATATCCAAATATATGTAACAAGATGACTAAATCTAGGGCATAAGACACTATAAAAGAAAAAACATCAGACAAAAACTGTAAACAAGATGTCAAAGAAACTAAAATGTAAGCTTAATTAAAAAAAGAAAACAAGAGAAAAACTCAGAGCAAGGTGTAAACACACCAGACACACAGGACACAGGAAGAGGCTCTGGTTGCTGCTGCCCCAGAAAAGAACTGTGGTCCGCACTGCAAGCAGCCTGCTAATCAAAGCCGGAAAACTCGCCCCCAAATCAAAACGCATCACAGGGCTGCAGTGGCACACTCTGCATGAGTGTGAGAGAATCACACAGCATTATCATGGCAAAGAGCTCTTAGCCTGGTAAGCAAAGGATTCAGGCTCCTACTGAAGGGACATTCTAGGTCATGGCCTCATTTAGCCAAGAAAATCTGTAAGAAAGCTACTGGTGGAAAGAAAAGACTTGCAACAGATTGACTGACAAATGCCATGTGGCTCTACAGCCACCGAGTCACAGTGGCAGGAAGAAGAAATGCATGTGGCTGGTGGGTTTGTTATCACAGGTGCAGAAACCTTCAACTCCTAACTGAGCTCCAACACACAGGCACTGCTGCTTTAGTGTCCGTGAACTTTCAAAGATGCGGAGTTTTTGCTAAATCTCAGTGCCATCTGCACACTACTTGGAGGTGGGGCTGGGCAGGGCGGTGAGTGTCCATCCGTTTGCCTGGAATGCATTGAGCTGACAATAAAGTCAGGTGGGGGAAGGGAATTAGAGGAAGAGGAGGGTATTTGGTAACATGCAATCTAGGAAACTTCTGGCACAAAAATATCTGGCTTATTTTCATTATTCAATTACCCATTAATACATACCGATCAAAAAATAATTGGGGAATAGTATATTAATACTGAAAGTAATCAACAGTGTAAGAGCAGGTCTATCTTCACCAGCAGCCAAGCTTTTGGTGTGCTGTATTGCACCTGGTTAACTAACCCATGAGATTTTGGTTGAATTTTCTAAGAAGTCATGGTTTAGCACTGGAATAGAAAGTGTGCGTCTGTGATTGTGTGTGAGTATGGTGTGTGTGTGTGTGTGTATTTCTTCTAACTAGAAACCTCTGATCACTTTGTCTAGCCTGGGATTATGGAAACTAGACAAAGAAGGTGTGTTCTGAAGAGCTGTGTTTCTTACACACATACACAGGCGGCTTCTTATATACCCACACATACAAACACACATGCCCTGCAAAAGACCATTGTTCAATGCTGAGGAAATGTTCACCACAGTCTGATAAATGCTGTGGCTGGGAATTTCAGTAGCACAGTGTCCAAAAGTGTTGAGCCATCTGTGGAGACCAGAGCCCGATCTGGCTCCAGGGTGAGGTCCCTATGACAGGTGGGTGCTGTTCCGCAGCCAGTGCAGGCCCTGTTGGGAGTACTGGACCAGGTGCTCCATGCTGCTGTGCAGGGTGACCGGCCCCATGAGCAGATCCAGGTCGTTGAAGAATTCTAGGGGACAGAGAGAGTCGTTAAGAATGCCACAGATGCGAGGTGTGCTACCCTGAGCAACTGATGTAAGAAAAAATTGCATTCATGGTCTCGATATAAATCAAGGGTTCTCTGTTCCATCATGGAACTTTAGCATTCCTTTGAACAAAATAAAATCCAAGGGTGGGGAACTCATCCTATATCCGAATAAATAAATACATGATATCTGCTATTTCTAAGTCAAATGAATAGTATTTGCTTAGCCAAATCGCAAAGAAAATGCATATCCTCTGGCTGCATTCTCCTAGTCCAGTAACGCTTCCCACTCCTGAATGTGAACGTGGCTCTGTCGTCCCTCACCCTGTACTCAATTCAGGCCTGTGCTGAGCCCCCGGAGTGAGTCCAAGGGGTGAGGCTCTAGTTTTCTAGGGGCAAATCAGAGATGGGCCATGAGACACCTGAAATGAAGTCACCTTCTAGCTTTTGAACATTCCCTAGGTTTGCCCTTTCACCAAACATTTATGATGTGGCCAGGCACAGTGGCTCACACCTGTAATTCTGGCACTTTAGGAAGCAGAGGCCGGTAGATTGCTTGAGGTCAGGAGATCGTGACCAGCTGGGCCAACATGGCAAAACCCAGTCTCTACTAAAGACACAAACAAACATTAGCTGGGTGTGGTGGTGCACATCTACTAAAGACACAAACAAACATTAGCTGGGTGTGGTGGTGCACACCTGTAATCCCAGCTACTCCGGAGGCTGAGCTGGGAGAATCGCTTGAACCCGGGAGGTGGAGGTTGCAATGAGCTGAGATTGTGCCACTGCACTCCAGCCTGGGCCACAGAGCAAGACTCTGCCTCAAAAACAAACAAATATTTATGATGTACCAAGGCACTCTGCTGGGTGCAGGGGGGTAGGGGAGGATAGCAGGATGAATCGTGTGGGCTCTGCTGTCTCTAAGATCATAGTTTGGTAGAGGCAAACACATTCTTATGGCTACTCTACTGTCATGCTGGTCACTGAATACACTTCTCGGTAAGTATCTGGGAGAAGTGTCTCAAAGGTCCTCTCATACATGTTGAATGAAGACCTGCTGGGGCAGGGATGGGGAGGTGGCTGGGAGGTTGGCCGGGGCAGGGATCCAGGGGTAGAACAGAGGAGGACCAGCAGGTAGGGGCAGGGGAACAATGCCAAGTCTGCACTGGACACTTGGCACTGAGCCCCCTGGTAGGAGACATCTAGCAGGCAGCTGGCAGCGCCATCTGGAGCTTGGCTTGCTCATAGTCTCCCAAACTGGACACGTGTATTTCTTTTTTTTTTTTTGAGACGGAGTCTCGCTGTGTCACCCAGGCTGGAGTGCAGTGGCGCGATCTCAGCTCACTGCAAGCTCCGCCTCCCGGGTTTACGCCATTCTCCTGCCTCAGCCTCCGAGTAGCTGGGACTACAGGCGCCCGCCACCACACCCGGCTAGTTTTTTGTATTTTTAGTAGAGACGGGGTTTCACCATTCTAGCCAGGATGGTCTCGATCTCCTGACTTCGTGATCCACCCGCCTCGGCCTCCCAAAGTGCTGGGATTACAGGCTTGAGCCACCGCGCCCGGCCTGGACACGTGTATTTCTACACATTTGTCCTTTCTGTGTTGTCCACTGGTGACACCCACCCCACCCATTTCAGTCACTCAACTGCTAAGTGCTTTTCTTTTTTTCTTTCCTTGAGATGGAGTCTCGCTCTGTCGCCCAGGCTGGGGTGCAATGGTGCGATCTCGGCTCACTGCAACCACCACCTTCCAGGTTCAAGCAATCCTCCTGCCTCAGCCTCCTGAGTAGCTGGGATTACAGGTGTGCACCACAACACCAGGCTAATGTTTGTATTTTTAGTAGAGACGGGGTTTCACCATGTTGGCCAGGCTGGTCTTGAACTCCTGACCTCAGGCGATCCACCCACCTCAGCCTCCCAAAATCTAAGTGCTTTTCAAAGCCCTGTTCCATGATTCCATGCCAGACCCTCTAGCAAGCTCCTCTTTGTGGCTTCTGACCCCCATGGCATTCTCACTGGACTCTCTCTGGGCTGCATGTTATGTACTATGTGGTTTTATTTACAATCTCATGCACTCTGCCACACATTCCTTATCTCATCCTGAACATCTTGCTCTTGACTTTGGAGCTATCATGCCTCCATGCTATCACGGGAACATAATTTGCATTTCATGAGCTGAAAGTGAACTCAGATATGAACTCTTACCTGCTGCTGCAGGGACAATAATAAATTAGTATAATCTTTCAGGAGAAGAGTTAACAGCATATGTCAATATAGAGAACAATATATATCTTAAGAGAATGTATACCTGTTGACCCCCAAATTTTATTCCACAACTCCCTCCTAAGAAAATAATCAGAAATGTGGCCAGGCGTGGTGGCTCATGCCTGTAATCCCAGTAATTTGGGAGGCCGAGGCAGGCAGATCACGAGGTCAAGAGATCGAGATCATCCTGGTCAACATGGTGAAACTCCACCTCTACTAAAAATACAAAAAAATAGCTGGACGTGGTGGCACACGCCTATAGTCCCAGCTACTTGGGAGGCTGAGAGACTCGCTTGAACCCGGGAGGCAGAGGTTGCCATGAGCCGAGATCAGGCCACTGCACTCCAGCATGGCAACAGAGCAAGATTCTGTCTCAAACCAAAAAAAAAAAAAAAAAAAAAAAAACCAGAAATATGAACAATGACTTATGTAGGGATATTTATCCCAACATTATTTGTCACAGTGGAAAAAAACTGGAAGGAACGTAAATGTCTAACAACAGGAGAATGGTTTGAGAAATCAGGATACTTTGTGACTATATAATCAATGTACTAGGATATTATCATAGAACCGCCATAAAGGGTGTTTTTGAACTAGTTAGTGACATGAGAAAATGCCTGATATAATGTCAAATGAAGAAAGGATATACAACTGTACGAGTATCCCAGCTACTCAGGAGGCTGAGGCAGAAGAATCGCTTGAACCCAGGAGGCAGAGGTTGCAGTGAGCCGAGATCACGCCACTGCACTCCAGCCTGAGCAACAGAGTGAGATTCTATCTCAAAAAA